GTCCGAGTTGGATCGAAACCAGCCAAATTACCACTTAGCCAAATTACTGCTTTGCCCAATTACCACTTCGCCGAAAGTATTTGCTAACACATTATGCTCGCATGCACAAACTCATGGTAATTATAACAGCTGACTGGTACTTAATATTAAGTGGTTTTCATACTTGTTGTGTCTTCTTTTACTAGGTTTATGTGACATTGTCCTCTCAATTCACTTTGAAAGTGAAGAAGTGGAATTTATAAAATATATTAATCATTGACTGTCCGTACACGGTGACCATGTTTTTGGTCGCACACAGTTAATTCTCAGAAACTTTTTTTTTTTTTCTTTTTAAATCTTCATCCCCTTCAGTACTGTTTCAAGTTGACTATAGAATGAAAAAAGTTGAATCTCATATGGGTTTGGATAGGAAGGGGTAAAACAACCCCAAGTTTTTCATGTAGCTCATTTTTATGGCTCCATACATACATGTACGTGTCTGTAGGCATTTCTTTATGGTGTAAATCAAGGACACACACATGCAACGTCATCAATGAATTGTAAATGGAAGACGAGTTCGATTAGAAAACGTGTACTAAACCAATGAGAGCAGATGCAAAAATGTTCAGAGTATAAACAAAGGAAAGGGAAGAGAAACATTAGAAAATCCTTGATTTACACCATAACAAACTTGTTAGTACGTGCGTTTGCGTGCAATTCGGCGAAGTGGTCATTCAGCGAAGTGGTAATTCGACGGAGTGGCAAGTAGGCGAAGTGGTTATTCGGTGAAGTAGCAAATCGTTGAAGTGGTTGTCGACAAAGAGGTTGGTTGGCAAAGCGACTGCAAAAACCTTGTCACAATAGCAGTGCTACTGCCTGTCCTGAGGCTGAATTGAATCCATGTACATGTATATATACATTGTACCTGTAATCTGTATGTTGTGCAGATGGATGGTGACTGTTGGGGAGGATTCTTTGATTGGCAATGACGGACTGACAACCTTGCGGGCAGAGTACAGGTCATTGTTTGCAGGGCTGGGTAGAGCTTCAAGTTCTCTCTAGGTGTGCTTCACAAAACAGGTCTCTATTAATGTTGTGCATTTTTCCAATAATTTAGTCTTTGAATATTGGAACTTGAATTTGAACAAAAAAATCATCCAATGACATTGAAATAATTTGGAATGTATCGATATAGATTTTGAGCTAGCTGACAACCTGGCATTTGGCAGATATTGAAGATCCACATTAGGGCTTACATTCCTCATGAAAACTCTCAAACCATCTGCGTAAAGTGTGGCGTTTGACTAAACAAATCAAATCTCTCAACTTAAACTCATAAAATCACATCATGGACGGTTTTTTGTCATTGCTCACATTAAAAAAACAATTCAATTTGATAAAATGCTATTCGGATATTCGGTGGATGATCAAATATTTGGATATTCGGTATATTTTGCACAACCCTTGTCTAGACTAAGCAATTGCAATTTGTTCCACACTAGTGCAAAAGTATGTTTAGAGATGATGCATTCATGAACATGTATGAATGTTGGTGCTGCTTTAATACCCCACATGTACAATCAGTTACACGTATAATGTGATATGGAAGTAAACAAACCCTGTTAGTTTGGATTTACCAAAGGTGTACTAACTTGAACTTTTCCAATGATTTGATTTGTACTTGACAGAATCCAGCATCTGTTATCATTATCAAGCCCATCAGGTCCTGAAGTGACATACTTCCACAAAGAACCATCAACGCGGGCAATTGTCACACAGAAACACCCACAAAAGAGACATCCACATGCAGGTCAGTGTGTAACACCGCACTGGCAACTCTACCAACGGGGCTGCAGACTCATATTTGTCAATGTCCTTGGCCAAAATTTGTTAATCAATTCCCTCGCCCATCCATGGGCAATTCTACAGAATTATAAACCTGAATGCCAACAATTCTTAATGGCCAAAATGCCACAAAAGAAATATACATATCAATTTGAAGCATATTATCTGTATTTTATTGACATGTAGTTTATTTAAAAGGGAAGATACAACATCATTGCAAACATCAAAAAACGAAATGATCAAATTATGACGAAATATATTACTGGACTGTCAGTGAATGACAGTCTAAAGCATCCTGTAAAATTCATATTTAGTCATTCCGCATTTTCTTTGCAATCAATTACGCATCTGTGTAGGGGTACAAGCCTGCTAGACTGATTCTCTGACCTAACTTCCTCAAAGTGTACAAAGTGCTACGTCTCATCTTACGTCTCATGTCACCAGACCACAAGAACATGGTTGGATTTCTTAGATTTTCTGGCATTTCCGAACCCAAAACGTGAAATAGGTCAGTTTAAAGGGAAGATACAACATTGGCAAATATTACAAAACGATATGAACAAAGTATCACTAAATACCTTAGTGGATTGTTAGGGGATGACAGCCTAAAGCATCCTGTAAAATCGTGGCTCCTGGTGTGCTGACATTTAAAAAAAAAAATGGTATTTTTCCAACGCTGGTCGGCCGACCAGCAATGGAGAAAACTGTTTTTTTTTTTTAAAACTACTCCTAATTTTTCATAATTAGTTATTCTGTGTTTTCTGTGCAATTGATTACACACCTTTGAAGGGGTACAAGCCTACTAGACTGCCTCTCTGATCTTACAATCCCCCAAAGTCTATAAATTCTCTGTTTCATCTTAAATGGGGTCTGTGAACCAGACTACAAGAACATGAATGGTTTTCTTGGTTTTTCCAACATCTACAAGCCCAAAACGTGAAACAAGTCATTTTAACAATATTTGCTAAAACATACTAATCCTCCAAATCCATTTATTTCTGATTATTGCAGCAAAAGCAAATGTTGTACATGCCCTTTAACAATATTTTTTATAGCACACTAATCCCCCAGATGCACTTATTTTGAACATTGCAGCAAAAGCAAATGTTGTACATTCCCTAACAAGTTCAACAGTTTGGCTGTTACTTGTAAATGGAAAATCAATTGATGACAATACAAAAAATTGATTTGTCTGAGTACGTCCGGTGTTTTGAGCCAATTTCTACTACAGCAACAAAGTTGGATGAATAATTTCTTCTTTGACTCATCAAAGTAACTAGTGACTAACTGATATGTTTTATCAGAATTAAAATCTACCCCGTGATTATAACTACAATTACATACACTGTTGAATTGCCCAAAATGTACGTCTGACACTGCGGAACTGCCCCCATTTAAACATTATTAAGAGTAAACCTAGTCAAGTTCCCTTGTATTGGGTATTTTAAGTGTCAACAGTTCTTCAAGTTGTCCTAAATGTCTCATCCTTTTCCAAACAAGCAAACAACTCAAGGAATGCCATGGATAAGCCAGTTCGGTATTTCAACTGCTTATGTGCACAACGATATGGGTCACCGGTCATTCGGGATAGTAGAACGATCAAAGGCGCATGAATGCGGGTGCGCGACGCTTGTGTGTAAATTACCACCAGAGTGGTCGTGCGCGTAACATCGCCTAACATCGTGTCAGCAATGTTATCCCAAATGACCTCAGGTCATTGAAATACAGAACTGGTTTATTACAATGAATTACAGTCGGGCATTAGAAGACTTTTGACCCAACTTTGAACATTGCATTTTATTCTGGCAAACAATTATATATCTGCACACACTGTCCATCAGATTTCAAAGGTATATGAAGGTGTAACCTGTAATTTCCAAGACGTCTCATGTTTTCTTCTTACTTGCCTGTCTGGTTTTTTTTTTCCAGAGGGTGAAATATTGGGGTTTAAAAGCCAGAGTGCCAAGCAGACCACAGAACAACAGAACACGGAGGAATGCACAACACAGAGTTACTGCTAACACAAAAGGTAGGTAGAGATTACATACCGGTATGGTTGAGGCAAAGGGTGGTTGATAAAACATTGCAAAGCCAACACTCCTCAGATCTCATACCAACCATATCAGGCCCATTTTTAGTATTTGTGGGTCAGATAAACTAGTGGATCATAGTATTAATACAATGTATGTCAAATCAGGTTTTGCCCTTCATTGATGTATAAACACTGAATACTCAGTGTGTTACCTCCTGAGTAAAAGTTGGAAAAAATCACTCGGTTGGGACTCGAACCCACAACCTCCTGCTTTCTAGTGCAGATGTTTTACCACTTGACCACTGAGCTAATGGGATCGGTTGGCTGGCTCGAATCTGATGTATTGGTACATGGCAGCGGGCATCGCATTAACTATTTATAAGGTCTATGGGATTTAAATTTTTTTTTAAGCATTAATATGGTTAAGGTTTGTGACTCATGATCAGAGGGTCAGGGGTCCGAATCTAGTTGCCGGTTATATGTGTGTCCTTGGGCAAGCCACTTCACCCCCACTTGCCTCTCTCCACCCAGGAGTATAAATAGGTACCGATATTAGCTGGGAAGTAACCTGCAATGGACTGGCATCCTATCCAGGGGGGATAAAAAAATATCCTCGGTCGTTTCATGCCTTTGAAACCGGAGATGTATTGGCTAATGACAGACTTTACTTACTTTCATAGTATTAATAGTAAATATATATATCTGTTGCAGCTTTTGGTAGGTGTGTTGATAATTCCTTGATCAGCTGATGAAATTACCTGTAGTTACTCCCCTGAGAAGTGAGTTTGGCAAAAAAGCCGCCTCATCATACCATGAACTTTCCAAGATTAGTTACATACGTTATCCCAGTAAAGTTGCTTCAATCACGATAATTGATCAGATCATCTCCAAAATGGTGGTTTCTTTTGTCCGAGTCTGTACCAGCAGGTTGATCCTGTTACCATCCATCAATATTTTCCAATCCTCATTTCAGTCCAACAGCGCCCAGCCCAAAGCTGTCCATCCTGATTCAGACCAGCAGCAGGCAGAGCCAGAGAGTCTGTTGCTACAGATTGAAGCTCTACAATCTCAGATGAAGGAACAAGCTGAGCTATCTAGAGAGCGGACGGAAGCCTTGCTGGAGGATCGTAGGGTCAGGATGGAAGAGATGCAGACTGTGATTGAGAGAGATCGCTCCAAGATTCACTCCCTCAATGAAAAGTAGGAACTCCCTTCATTGATTCCTTATAATCTTAAATGAACTTGACAAAGGTGCCCAGTGGCATAGCTAATGATAGGGGAGGAGGATGAGGGGCATGGACCCCTCTGCTCAAAGACTGCCTCCTACTAGAAACTGAGGTCCCTTTAGGGCCCTCCAGCAACTTGGACCCCAGTTACATCCTTGAAGGTACCAATAAAGATAAATGCACATGTGTGCAGTTTGGACAACGGGCAGGGGTTTCAAATAGATTATATTACCTGGTGTTTGTGTTGTTGCATGAATTGGCAAAACATTTCTAAATATGTGGAGTGCCCTGGCCTCATGGTCTGGAGCATTGAACTCGTTGTCTGTGGGTAATTCTACAGGTTGTGGGTTCGAGTCCAGCCTGGGGTTATGGTGCATGTTCCCTTTGGCAAGACACTTTGTCACTCATTGCTTCGCCCCACCCAGGAGTAAATGGGTACCTGTGAGAACAGAGATCGCAATTGTGATTGATTTTAGCTACCTTGCGTCGAAATGACTACACCGAGCTGTATGGGCTTTATTCAGGAGTCGACTATATTAAATTGAAAGCGAGGTAAAATCTTCATATTTGGAACTTGCAAAGAGAAATTAAAGCAGTGACATAAAATTAATTACAAATTAATACCAGTCTGCTTTAATGAAAATTTAAATTTGTTGTTAAACATACCCTAATGTTTTTAAGCCACATTTAAAATAAAAATTGAAAGTGAGGCTAGAATGCAAAAATAGTCTGGCACCATCCTATTCAATAGTTTATAAAATACTGTCAGGGAACATGACTAAAATGACTTCCTCGTGAATAAAAATCCATATTCCACAGGAAGCTGAGATTGTATTTGCAATGTTTCATTGGCCCAATGATCAGGGGTAATAATAATGTAAAGCACTTTGATCTTAGTTATTTTAGAAACCACAGTCTTTCCACACTAGTATATTGGCAACACATCTTGCCAAAATAACATGGAGGCATATGCAGTGTGTGCTTGCTGAAATTACATGAGTCAATTGACTAATAAAACCAAATTAGGTTTTGTCCATCACCGATGTATAAACACTGTATTCTCAGTGTGTTTCCTCCCGAGTGAAAGTTGGAAAAAAATCACTCCGGTGGGACTCGAACCCACGACCTCCTGCTTTCTATTGCAGATGTCTTACCATCTTATGAATAGTTAATGTAGTACCCGCTGCTATGTACATCAGATTCGAACCAGCCAACTGATCCCGTTAGCTCGGTGGTCAAGTGGTAAGACATCTGCACTAGAAAGCAGGAGGGTCATGGGTTTGACCGGAGTGATTTTTTTCAACTTTCACTCGGGAGGTAACACAGAGAGTATACAGTGTTTATATGTCGGTGAAGGGCAAAACCTAATTTGATTTACATCACCCCGACGCAAAATGAAATGAAATCTTATGAATGACTAATAAGACACTTACCGTTCTTTAAACAAAAGTAGAATGTGTATCCTTTATTCAGCTACCTTGTTCAACCATCATACATCACTTGTCATGGACATTCTTCTGTTAATAGGTTACATCGTACACAGCAGATGTTGTATGACAGCACTAAGGACTATCTAGAGCTGAAGTATGAAGGACGATCTCAGGAGCGAGTCTGGATGGCAGAGAAGGACCGTCTACTACAGGAGCTGGATCGATGTAAGGAACAACTAGATGTCTCCAAAGATGACGTCTTAGTCATCTCAGATCATGCACTGGAAGAGAGACAAACACAGAACTTGGAAATTGAGGTGGGCATTATAGAGAAGCTTCCTGCACAAAGAAATCATTTCAAGTTAAATACAATACAATAATGATCATTTTCAAGCAAATTCGTTTGAATTGCTTTAAAAAAAGAACTAACTTTTCCATTCAGAAATCATTTTTTTTTCAAAAGTTAGCAAAACAAAAGAATCTTGTTACAAAGTCACAACTGAATGGCCCCCTCAAAAGCTGCAATCAAACTATTGGGGTAATCGCACATAAGGAGCATTTTGGACTTTGGCAGATCTACTTTATTCAGTGTTGTACAAATGATACTGAATGATTGCAACGTGGTGGTTTTAGTCTGACGATCTCTTCCATGCAAAATCTTGAGGAAGGCGAGGAGAGCATAGAAGACAAATTTCACCGGCAGTTGTTGTACGAAAAAGACGGCAGGCCTAATGCCAAACTTTTTCCAGTTCCACCTACCATGCGTTAGTGGACTTGTTGTCTTGGACTTTTTCCTTGACTTTCTCCGTGTCTCAAGTAAGATGTGAATTTCTTTAATTACGAGTCAGAAACTCCAACCCTAATTCGGGCTTTTTAATCTTATGGAAACACTGAACATTTTTCACATCGTAAAATTTCATTTGGATCTACATGTACATGTAAAAGAAAAAAAGGAGGCGATGTCCAGAAATTGAACACGAAGTTTATTGTACATATAGTACGTATGTGTACTTGCGGCGCAGCCCAGATTTCGGACACAGAATTTTGGCTGGCCTATTTTCAGATTTTTTCCCCATAGGCCAGTTTCATCCCTGTATGGTCTGTGACTTGAAACATAGATGAGTTTGTGAACAGAACGGGACAAAAAAAACACAGAACCGGGCCTGCGGATCTCGATTTCAAATAAAAGTTGCTGAATCATGTTTTGAATTGGGCCTGAATTGAGACACATTCTCATTGAGCCGATTGCAGCTACGCGGTGTCATGCACTGATACGATGAATTAAGGCAACTGCGCGCACGTTTGCATCGTGTCAACGCTTGTGCGTGCTTCGCCAAATAAAAAAGCGAACTACTAACAGAAATTTCCAACGATGCGTCTGAAGACCTTCTTTTGTTGATTTCTTCAAAATGACAGCATGTCAGAAAGAATAATTTCAGAGAGAATTTAGTACTGTCAACCAACCAAGTATGTTTTTCAACGATAATTACATCAGTTACTTTTTGGATAGCTGCAAATGATGGACTGTAGCTTAAAATGACTAGAGACTTAACTTACTGTACAGAATGTACACTGCTGGGTGCGTCCATTTTTGTGCACAAACCTATGGAGAGCTCAGAATTTTTTACTGCTTTTGGGCAATTCCACGGTAACGGAAGGACGTTTTCGCTCATTAAACAAAATTTCAAATGTGCCTATCACAGCCACTGTTATTAGTTACAGCAAGCAAATGTCACAATGGTATTGCTATAATGCTACCTTCAATTTCCACACTTTTGGGGGGCATGCATACCTCTCGTTAATGAATTATGAATATTAATGAGGTCGGTAACGGAAGGACGGTAAAACGGACGAGGGTTTTCCAACTTACACGCGTTTTGCATAAACTCTGTGAATTTTATGGGGCAATTATATTTCAAAGGTAGGAAATGGAATCCCTGCGGCTTTATCTATACTATACCACCTTTCATTTGACTTTAAGTGTTTCGGTGATATAATTACAATGTCTTAAGTGGATTATAATTTGGTAGCGGAAGGACGGTAACGGAAGGACAAAAGGTTTACTCAATTATAGCATGAATAAAATGTGAATTTACACTAATTATACAAGTGAAATAAATTGCTGAAATGTGTAACTGAATGTGAAATCAACAATATGCAGACCTGGCATAAATAATTATACCCAAGAAACTATTGAGATAAAGATAGAAGCCTGCTAATTAATGATAACAAATGAAAAATGAAAACAACCAAAAACACATATTTCACGAACACAAGACAACTACAGAAATGGACTTCAAACCCATCACCTTAATCCTTAAAAGTTTTAAATACACAGTATTTGAGCACTTGAGTATATTGGTTACATGTTCACCAACAACTTTTAATAATAACACCAGTAGGTTCAGTGGTTTACCTAAAGGGTGGGGGGGGGGGGGCAGGGGCGACCAGCTTACATGTACATTAAAAACATCTACAGGTAGAACTGATGGCTTCAGAATCATTGTGCTTTAAAAAATGTTTTAGGTGTTGCTTTTAATTGAACTCTAAATTCAGTGTTTGAAATCAAATTTTAATGATTTAGAGTATTAACAATAATTATCTTATAAACATCCAGCCTGAAGTTGTTAACTTAATTTGTCAAAAATTGCACCTCACATGTCTTACACATGTAAATTGTATGAAAGTGCCCAATAGCACTGGTACTTTCTGCCATCTCATTTTTTACTTAATTTGCTTCTGGAATGGCTTCACAGAAATTGTATCTTTCTCTATTGTCCATGAATGGTGATAGCAGCAACTTAATGATTTGATTTTCTGCAACAACTCCATACATGTATGAGTACCGGTACATTGTCATACATGTACATTGTACATGTACATGTTATACATATGCCTGTGCCATCCTTTGTAATGAACACCTTGCCCTGCTCATACCAGCTTTGTGAAGGTGGGTCACATGAATGTCCTTTCAATGCGCATTATACATGCATGTAGTTGCAGTGATTTTCATTTTTCAAACATGAGCACAAATGTCGTTACATTTGATAAAAATAACATTTGTCCTTCCGTTACCGTCCTTCCGTTACCAATTTGGTAACGGAAGGACGGGATTTAATTAATTGTAATTAAAAAACGATACGTACAGCAGTGTCAGTTATAATGTCATATTGAAGGCCTACCTAAACTTGCTTTGCACAATAACTTTCATTGCATTCATACTGCAAGTTTTGAAAATAAATTAAAAATATGTATTTTTTCGGTAACGGAAGGACATTTTCGAAGGCTGAAATATTAGAAGTCACTGAAGCGAAACAAATTACGCAAAACGTAAAAAAAAAGGTCCAGTCAGTTTTTCATGACCTATACTTTCTCATGACAGAAACTGATGGCATGAGTACATATTTGTGTGTGTGTATTGGTAGAATACTGTCATATCACTATTTATCACATTTTTAGGATTAAAACAGGATTATTATGTAATCCTATTTTGTTGGTACCAAAATGTATCAAAAATAGAATTCCGACTTCAAATTCCCTTCAGTGGATTGTTCTGATTGCTATCGAAAAGTGAACAAAATAAACTCTGATATTCAAACAGTACCAACTGCTCATGCAAAGTTTAAGCCATTTCTGATCTATTGCCGAAACCTGTTTCTAGTACCATTCATTCTTGTGGTTATTTATCCACAGGATAAGACGGAAAAGCTTGCTAAGCGTTTACACCTGATGAACCAGCGGTATGAGGCCATGGAGAAGCGACGGAATCTGGAGATAGAAGGTTTCAAGAATGATACCCGAATCTTGAGAAACCAACTCAAGGATGTTGAGAAGCAACTCTACAAGGTGGAGTATTGTCTGTTCATGTCAGTCATGTTGTTAGTTTGCATTTGTCCGTTGCTGTTTTCTACTTTCCTATGTTGGTCAGCTATAGAGCAGTTCATGCAGATCGTGGTGCGGACACTGCGAACAAGTACCCCAAAGGCTGGGTCATGCTTAGCCCCATATGTGGCCATTTTACTGGACTACCTCCATAAATAAAGGCCACACTTCCACCATGTACAAAAACATGTCGAACTTTTATATTTGTTTTATATAACTGACACATAGATCCTTGTCATTTGATATTTGAACTTTTATTTCAATATAAAATTGGTTGAAAATGTATTTTTCTCTTCCAAACCACCCCTTCACGAAAATGTTTGAACCCAACGCTGGCTACGTGCAATGCTAAACGCGCACACCAGCATGCATTTGCATACAACTGCGTCATGGAACAAGAATGATCCTAACTGTTCAATAGTATTTCCCATTCCCCATAGGCGAATGGGACTTTTTGAGCCCCGGCGTGAATGGGAGCAATAACGAATGCCACATGATGTGAGTTCCACCAATCAAATGACAACGATCTGTATGTCGATTATATAAAGTAAAATGGTGCATTCCATGAAACGTGCTCTTGACTAAATCAAGAAGCAGATTCTGTTAGTGAGATGTTATGTCATCTTAGTCCATAATGATGTTGTCACTGAAATCAAGATTGCAAGGACATCATTGCAGGGATGTAGTCGAGTCCATCACTAGTCCCTGCAAGTCCACCACAAGTCCTCCAACACCAATTTAACTCACAAGCTATTCAAATGAGCTTTGACAAAGGCATCCAGTGTATCTTGTGCCTGGACTTGTGATGGACTCACGAATTACTTGTGTCTGGACTTGTGGTGGACTTGTGAATGGAATCAACTACATCCCTAGCCCTGGATCATTGTCAGTGCTTTGTAATGTAAACCCTTCTTGTTTTGTTGCCATGCTGAACAGGTGACAGTGGGTGTTGGGGAAGATGGTGATATGTTCATGCTGCATAATATTCATCAGACAGCTAAGAGATCAAAGAAGATGCAGAGTGAGCTACATCAACTCAAGGCTCTGATCTATGGCGTGGAAACAGACCTCAGGAATCTCTAGTAATACACACAATCACCCCTCACTGTGTCTCCACATTTGATCAAATGACTTATAACTTTGGGAAGCCTCATTCTCTGTTTGAAGATGCATAGGATCTTGTGATATTTGTGCCTTTTGGGTTTTTTTTTTTTGAAGCAAAAACAAAATTGCTCCAAATCTTAAGTTAGATCCATAACAACTTACCTGTTGAAGTTATAGCTGAGTGGATACTGTACATCTTGAGAATACAGGGAAACCTTATCAAACTTTCAATCAAATTGGACATAGGACTTCGTTGCTATTGTCTTTCCCACAAAGGCCTATGCATAAACATTTTATTGTGCCAAGTGAATAGAAAAAGTGAACCTTTTTGCCACCCTGGGTCAAAAATCTGATATTCACAAGAACAGTGCATGTATGTCTGATGTTATTAATAATTGACTTGTCTGACAACTTAAGATTAGAAACAGTTGGAGGAGATCCTATAAATCCACCGATGCTAAATTCAGCTGCTGTATTCGCTGTTCTTGTGAACGATTTCAAACATTTAGAGAAAAAGGCTCCTTTTTGTTCATGTGCTACGTGAGAACTGATGTCACTTTGTCACTTTAGTACGAATGGCCGGTTGTTCTGCGTAGAATAGTAACAGTACTAACATAACAATGCCCACATGTACAGTTACTTTGGTTACTTAAAACTGGAGAGAGTTTGTTGTATTTGTTATCTCACAGGAACCTTGACATGAAAAGGCTCCATTATATTGTGGGGGCAATGTATACTGCCAAAATAGTCAATGTTTTGAAATTGAATCTGTTTAAAATGGAGGCAATAACTACTGAAATTGCATGCCAGTATGTTCAGATGTTATTGAAGTAATGCTTGTGCAGCTCACATATGGGTTTACTGCGCACAGCAAAGACTTCTCAAATGCGATACTTTGGGTACACTATGGTAAGGCCCAAGGAGGACACAAAGTGGACATCGCTTTTCTGCTGTCAGAAGAGCAGATAACAGAAGTATGGCCATTTTCCGACAATACATTTTTCATTTTGTAACTTTGTGATGTGGAAGCTCTTTAAGGGGGAACGCCTAAAAAACCCTGTTAACCTACACTCAAAGAAAAATGAAACGGTGCTTATTTTTCTCAGAAGCACCGTTTCATTTTCCTTTTAACCAAAAGCAGAATACAAATGGTAGTTACCAAAGGTTCGTTTTGCTTTTCTGGTTCTAAGAAATGAGAAAAGCAAAAAACAAAAATATACATTTTGGGTAGCACAAAAGCAGGAAATGGAAACGTCAGAAACGGTTTGATCTGATTTTTGAACAAGAGAAAAGCAGATGTCCACTTTTTCTCCCTCCAGCAAGGGAGGAAAAGCAAAATCTGCATTTCAGGTAGCATAAAAGCACTACAGTGGATTTTATTAAACAGTAAATTCTGCATTTATGGTAGCACAAAGGCGGGAAAGCAGAACAAAATGAACCATTCAAAAAATACTCAATCTGCTATTCTGACAGCAGAAACGCAGATGTCCACGTTTTGTCCTCGATGACTACATGAACAGTCCTGTTCATTTCAGAATGGTAAATAGTGCCCTCTTCTCACCATCTAGTTTGCAAGTTGTCCTTCAATACCCATTTGTTGTTCCAAACATTTGTGTCAAGCTTGTTATTCCAATTAACTATGCACAAAAAGTACATGTATTGGGGTCATGTCCTGCATGTTGTTCTAATGTAGGAGAGATGTACAAAGTAGTGTATGCAATGAAGTCACATGTATTCTACCATACAATCTTATATTGGTGTCCCATATCAATAGGTCTCATTCAAATGACGTCATTTCCTACAGACCAGCCACATGCATCAACATTTTGAGCATCAACTGAATAACGCACATCGGCTGTGTCGTATTTCAAACACATTTCAAGCAAGAAGCGCGTGTGTTTGGAACATTTTTAACACTGCGCAATGCGTGCTTGATTGCGTAAAATAAGCAATCAAGAGATGACCGTCATTGAGTGAGCCCTATTGATATGCTTGGCAGTAAGGATTGAACAGAGAGATTATTTTATGCAACTGTTAATATCTTTTGGAATTTTTGCAGTGAAATACTTTTTAAAATAAGTTGGCTATTTTAAGGACTTTATTTTTATGGTGAAGGATTTTGGAATTAAATGTAGAATATTAAAAGGATCTATGCAAGCTTTCAGAACAAATTTGTGATTGGCATTCAAGCGCTTTATTTTGTGTGTTCCATGAGTGTGAGTGGGTTTAACAATTCATCTTCCAGCACACTTCATGCACAGCTACGTGCACGCTGTCGTCACGTTTCAGCTTTCATCTACCACATACGTACGTGCAGCAAGCGTCTTGCGTTGTGTGGTGCAGTGTGGCCCATTATGGGATAATAACACTGTTGTTGCCATCAGGCATGCAATTTTTCCTTGGATCTGCTGATTTCCTTCTTTCTTTTCTTCTCATGAATGCCATTACAATTTTTGAAAAATACTGTACAAAGGCTTGTGTGGTTTGGAATTTCCTCCTTTTCTTGTAAATTTTGAGTTGCATGCCTGTTTCATGTATCAACCTATCAGTATAAGAATTCAAATTTGGTTGAAGATAAGCACATATGTACAACATACATGTCTGTTAGTTTGTTACACACAGTGCCACCGTGTTGAATGTTTTGACCAATCAAGAAATCACTAATAGAAGCCACAGTTGAGCCAATACCAGGCATGTATGCACGAGGGGGGGGGGGGGGTAAAGACACCAGACCAACATATAATTGGGTAAGACTTGCAGTTTGACAAACTCAAGGAAGGGGGGGGGGCTTGATTACATTAGTCTCTGGATGGCACTATTATGTCATTTTTATTCAGTTGAAGCATCATGGTTGCAGGTAATCTTTTAAAGGCAGTGGTGAAAGTAATAGATGAGCCAAATTACTTCACAAAAATATTCAGCAAAAATGTGGATTTTATTTCTTTGTGTGTGTGTGTGTGTGTGGGGGGGGGGGGGGCGGTTTGCATATGCAGACCTTGATGCCCCTACAAGCCTGTCTAGGTACCAACCTCATAAATATTGCCACATTGCCTATCCCTAATCTATACAATTCAATGTCATGAATGTCAACTGATCAATCTCATGAGCTTCAACTTGAAACAATGTACATAGACCTTCCCAAGACTAGACTGGGGCAACTACCATTGAGCTCTTAATTATACAAATATCAGCTGCTTCAAGTTGAGTGGTAAAACTAGCCTCCTGGGTAGTCCGAGGATCAAACGATCATGTTTACAGAGCCTCACTACGAATGTCTGATATATCCGAACATGCAAATTGTATGCGACCCCACGGGCCAGCCAATCAAAGTTGAGTTTAGATATGTTGACACTAGGGCTGGTTGACCTACGACAGTTGACCCATGTAAAGGGACATAACATGAAATAGCTAGATGGGCGTTTCGAGAAAAAAAAGTGTAGTAAAATTGTTGAACAAAATTGTAAGAAATCTATAAGTTTTAACTTCCTTTGACTTTTGGACCAAAAGTTTAGATTTTTTGACCGAAGAGGTATTTATGAATGGAAATAAATATGTGCTTGGCCGGTATTCTACACTTTGTTTAAGACCGGTTGAGTCTGGATGCTGATAACGACCCTTGCCTTTGGCTCCGGTCAGTATCATCATCCAGACTCCAAGCCGGTGTTGAACAGTGTTTAATATCGACCAACAAGCACACACATTTATTCCCTCATTGAAAAGATTACGATTTCAACTCGAGTCTTTTCTAGTTGAGTCTCAATGACAACTTAAATAATGGAGATATTAAACGCACAAGTGCAAGTCTCACATAATGTTATTTCACTCTTAGGGCCACTGGACATAACATACTAGTAGTACATACGTTACAGAATTCATATATTACATGTACATGCACTCTGTGAAAAGCAAGTCACAATGTGCAACATAAATTGTACCAGACAATAATTCAAACAATCACTCGTTCATTTTTAAAAAGCACATTGTTTGTACTCAGAACCTCTATCTTGACCGAAGAAAATAGACTTAAAACAACTAAATTACTGAACATAATCACAGCATCCATGCATGGGAAGTAGGATAATTTGTACAAAATATAACCATACATTGTTACAATAAACCAAATCTATTCTCACAAAAACATGTGTACATTCATTAGTTTACAGTTTTCGCAGTTAGCAAAAGAATAACTTGGACTACTTTATTGCAACAATTGCAGTTTCTGTAGGACCATGTCAAATAAATAAAGCTACCAGCATAACTGAAATAAAGAATTCAACAAACGCTCCGCCCCCCCCCATTTTCCCATTTCTTGTCTTAGGTCCTTTAGTATCAATGTTGACTTTTTCCATCTCAAATGTCTGAAAGCTCAGTTATTAATTCATAAATTGCACAATTTTGTAAAAGTAAATGAATATACATAAACAAGTAAAACCATACAATATTTAAACCTTTTTTTTACATTTTGCATAGCAGAAATGATTTCTTTTAAACATAATTTACTGAAACCATTTCCCTATGTGATCACTTTTTTATATAATAAACATCATTTGAAATATATTGTCCAACACAATTAAACTAATAAAGACTTTAAGTATATCGTTTAAACAGGAGGCCTTTTTTTTTATACAAACCAACATATTTGTCAATATGATTGATGTGTATAGCTAACCTACATTCCACCTGTATTTCTGATTAATGAAATTAATAACAAAAAAGTGATCATTTTATGATCTTTATATTTATCTTAAATGTTTGTGGCAAAGTTGCAAATCACAAGCTAGCAAAGTAAATATCAAACCCTACATCATGTGCCATATACGAAAACCAAACTATAACAGCACAGAAACTAGACACAACTTATCTCTGGATAGCTATACACAATAGGATACAAGCAAAACAATTCTAGCTTTCTCACTCAAAAAGTGCTGGACTTTAGCCCCTTCTTAAAAATATATACGTATATATATCATGGATATTAATGTCCTTAAGAAAAATCTACCTATACTATATTCTGAGTTGTTGAAAAAGTTGGGTTCAATGTGTTAATAACAGTGGTTCAACAGCAAAACTGAATGCGCTTAATACCACATTTTGACTGTTTACCGAGACACAAATGAACAATAGGATGGAAGCTTCCAAGAAGTTACATAAGTTAAATATGAACCAGAGTACGTGGATGTGCAGAAACCATGTCAGATGTTGACAATCATGCCGCATCAATCAAGCATGCAGGGACTTGTCTTGTTTTCCTTAAACTTTGCAAAAGCAAGAGAAGAAAACAACGCCCTTACTTGTTCATTGTTATAGTCATAAAGCAATGTGATTGGTCAGGTCAATGACAAAAAT